TCCTTCTCATTAGGTGGCCAAAGTACTTGAGTTTCAAGAATCCAGATGCACAAGGGGTATTAAAACCTAACAGGTCCAGCATTTGTCTGCTAAATGCTGAGGAATGATCATATTAAATGCCAAACTAAAGTCAACAAACAGCATTCGCACATGAGCATTTCTTTCCTTCAAGTCTGCCAAGCTCAGTTGGAGGAAATAGCATCCTCTGTGGAGTGATTACCCAGTAAGCAAACTGAAGTGAGTCAAATAGTAGAGGGAGGCTTGATACAATAAAATCCTTTATCAGCCTTTCAAAGCCTTTCATAATGATGGATGTAAGTGCAACCTAAACAGATAATCATTAAGACCCTGACAAAATTATTGCAGTCTTAAAACAGGAAGGGCCACTTGCCCGCTGCAGTGAAAGATTGAAAATATCTGTAAGAACACAAACCAACTCATCTGCACACTCCCTAAGAACTCACCAGGGATATTATCCGGGCCCGCCACTTTCCGAATGTGAACTTTCCACAGTGTCCTCCTGACAGAGGTGACATCAAAGCTAAGCACTTGCTCATCAGTGCTTAGGGCAGGGGTAGGCCACCTTGGCTCTTTTATGACTCGTGAACTTCAACTCCCAGAATTCCTGAGCCAGCCATGCTGAGGGGAAAGGGAGAGGTTTCCAAGCTGAGCCATGCTGGCTCAGGAATTCTGGGAGTTGAAGTCCATGAGTCACAAAAGAGCCAAGGTTGCCTACCCCTAGCTTAGGGGCACAGCTTTCCTTGCAGGGGTACTATTTGATGCCTCAAATCTTCCCAAAAAAGTCTTGAGCGAGAATTACTGATTTCTCCTCCACCCTAAGCCCAAGGATGACTTCAGTGTGATATGCGAACCCAGTCTTTAAAAATTTCATCTTGAGTAATTTTTGTTCCTGTTTTTCTCCAGGTATTCGAGCAACAGACTTCTTTGGAGCTTTCTGCATGAGCAATACAACAGATGTGGAATTAGCAGGTTTAGACTGTGACAAAACAATCACTGTGGAATTTAAACACGATGACAAGCTAAGAGAAGACAGTGGAGCCTTACTCCAGGTAATTCCTCTCTGAAGGAGGCTGTTGGGTATGCAGGCCGTGGTTTTGGGGGAGGATATCTTTTTTCCTGTAGTCGAATGGCAACCAACTTTCTTCAGGACAAAATTCACACTTTTGCTTGGTGGGCAGGTGTGGGGGCTAAAAATGACCCATTCAGTGGGTAAGTTTAAGATCTTAGGCCAGTGATGGCGAACCTTTTAGAGACCGAGTGCCCAAAACCCGCTCCCCACCCCCGTCCCCACTCCACCCTGCCCGCTGGGCCACCCACCACCACAGCCCGCCACAGATCACCCAAGCGGCCCAGCAGCGCCATGACGGCCACGCCCTCTGCCCACGCCCTGCAGCATCTGCGCACGACGGGGCACAAGGGCAGGGTCTTGTCCCTGCTGCCCGGCTACCATGTCCTTGGCTGCGCTGCTTCACGTGGGCCGCGCCCAGGGACGACTCTCCTCTGGGGGGCTGCTGGTGAGGGGGCCATGGGAGGAGGCGGGGCTGGGGTGATGGCGCATGTGCCCACAGAGAGGGCTCCGAGTATATCACATCAGTACCCATTGAAATCATTGATATGATCTTGGGCCACCCAAGAACATAGGAAAAGGATTGCTGTCCTCCCATCTGATCTAGGTTTTGCTTAGAGATGGAGAGTTCAATCCAGGAGTACCTAATGTTTGTTCATAAAAGCAGTACTATCCATAGAAAGTGATGGGAAACTAGGAGTTGGCTGAAATCTTCGATGTTCAGATTTTAATAGCTCTTGTTTATAAATCTCTCTCGTGTAGTGTGCTGTATTGTATACCAGTTGTGCAGGACAGAGGCGCCTGCGCATTCACAATCTCTCCCTGAACTGCTGCACACAGCTGGCTGACCTTTATAGGAACTGTGAGACAGACACACTGATCAACTTTCTGGCTAAATTTGGTAAGAACAATCTTGTAATTGTTCCAGGGGGAGGGAAACCTTGAGGTCTTTTGAGAGCACAAAAAAGCTTTTAATGACAGGCTGCAAAAAAAAAATTTTTTTTCTGGATTCTCCTAGTGCTGCAGATAAGAGTTGGAAATAAATCATTGATTTCAAGATATAAGAGGACACTGGCAGTGAAACTCAGTGTGAATACAATTGGTTGTCTTTATTATTTTATTTTGTTGTTGTTAACTGCGAAGTCATGTCCGACCCATCGCGACCCCATGGACAACGTTCCTCCAGGCCTTCCTGTCCTCTACCATCTTCTGGAGTCCATTTAAGCTCACGCCTACTGCTTCAGTGACTCCATCCAGCCACCTCATTCTCTGTCGTCCCCTTCTTCTATTGCCCTCGATCTTTCCCAGCATTAGGCTCTTCTCCACTGAGTCCTTCCTTCTCATTAGGTGGCCAAAGTACTTGACTTTCCACTTCAGGATCTGGCCTTCTAAAGAGCAGTCAGGGTTGATCTCCTCTAGGACTGACCGGTTAGATCGCCTTGCAGTCCAGGGGACTCGCAGGAGTCTTCTCCAGCACCAGAGTTCAAAGGCCTCCATTCTTTGTCGCTCAGCCTTTCTTATGGTCCAACTTTCACAGCCATACATTGCAACTGGGAAAACCATGGCCTTGACTATACGCACTTTTGTTGGCAGGGTGATGTCTCTGCTTTTTAGTATGCTGTCTAGATTTGCCATAGCTTTCCTCCCCAGGAGCAAGCGTCTTTTAATTTCTTGGCTGCAGTCCCCATCTGCGGTGATCTTGG